AGTTGACTTTGTAATTAATTGAGACTGGAATGTTTTTACCGTGTTTGGAGAATTTTCGTCGTTCGTTGGATTCCGAGGTGACGGCCGCAGTCCACGCAGTCGGTCCTCTCGACCTTCAAACTTTCAGGGTTGAGGCAGGACGATGTTTTTCAAAGTCCTGGATGATCAGTCACCGTCTGCGGTGGATACAGCGATCAGCCTGGAATCCCACTTCTGACACCAAGTTTGTTGTGGATTTTTCTGTTGGTAATGAAAGATCTCGAGTCAAAGTCTTTTGTCTTTGTGTATTTTATTGCATATAGTAAAGAGTTCTTTTACAAAAAGGGTAATCAGCTACAAAAGTAACATCAGTCACAAGTGCATCAAAGATTCCCGGGGCAGAGCATTTTTATTCTTTCAGTAGTATTTAATTTAATTTAATAGTATTTTTCCACTACAACCTGTGGAGGTAACCAGGAACTCAACATGCATGTCTCACTTTGCACTGACAAAAGTCTAAGATGGACTCTTAAGGGCTAAGACGCTGTGTGAATAAGTTGAATCATTACAATGATCTAGTCTTAAGTTTAAGGGGAAATTCTTACAAATTGTCACTAGGAGCAACTTTTAGTATTTAGGAGGCTTCATGAATAAGGCCACAGCATTACATTAAAAAATATCTCCTGATACATTTAAGTGGGAAAGTAGGGAACAGACTACTTTCCTCTTCCTGCATACAAGCAAGCTTTGCATGACGTAAATTACACATAATACAATGATTAACTAATAAAGATCATAGAAGGAACCTATAAAAAAGCAATAGTACATTAAGTTAATTCATTTATTACACATACAATTCAGACTATAAACATATTTAAACATAAAGATTATTTTTCTCAGAATCAATCAAATATTCCTTCAGATTTTCAGTTTCTTCTTCTTATCAAAAGTCTCACTTATCATCCTTGTTTGTCTTTTGAAAATTGTTTTTCATAAGAAAGAAACAGCATGACAAAACCGAGGTTCTCCTAATCGGCACCAAATCCACAATTTCAAAACCTGACAGTTTTTCTCTCCCTGTTGATCACTCCTCAGTTTCTCTCTCCTCTCAGGTTTAGAGTCTGAGTGTCCTCCTCGACAGCACACTATCCTTCAGAGCTCACATCAATAATGTCACTCGGCCCGCTTATTTCCATCTACGTAACTTAAATCACCTCCGCCCGTCCATCACATCCAACAGTACCTCCATCATCGTTCACACCCTTTTTAAATCTCCCATCCTCACTGTTCCCCCTCTCAAGTCCAACCACAAACTTCAACTGGTCCAGAACTCTGCTGCTTGCATCCTCTCGTCACCCCCCTCCATTAATCACATCGACTTCAAGATTCTGCTCCTCACCTTTAAGTCCATCCATAACCTCGCTCCTCTCTACCTCTCTGATCTCCTGCACATCAACACACCCACCCTCACTCTCAGGTCTTCACACCACACATCTGTAATATTGACTCTCTCTATTTTTAAATCTCATCTCAAAACACATCTTTTAAAATGAGCATTTTCTGTCTGATCATTTTCCATCCTATCTCACAAAGATTTCATACTCTGTAAATTTGTCTTTTTAATGTTAATCTGATGGATGTATTGTTACTCTGTTGATTTTATTTCTGCTTTGTAAGGTGACCTGGAGTGCTTTGAAATGAAATGTATTATTATGATAAAAGAAGCTAATATAAAAAATAATTACAACAACAATACCATAGACCAGCACAGTGCTTCACAGTGTAATGATTTGGCTGCAGTACATTACAGTATTTTTATGTTATCTGCCTTTGAACAAAAACATCCTTCCTGTCGTATCCCATCCTTTGTTCATCACTAACCTGCTGCAAAGAAAAAACATTTAATGCAGAAAAGAGAAATAGAGATATTGCATTTAAGATGAACATGAAGTCATCCTCTTCTCCTTCATGAAGCTTGAATCATAACCACTCTGTTGACATAGTCTGCAAGTTACTGTGTAATTTTACATTATTTTATTTAAATGATGTAAATATGTTTGATCTGTTTTTAACTTCTATTTTTATTTTTTATAAGTATATTCCCGTCCCCTGTTTTCTGGAGCTGCTGTAATGCACAAATTTCCCCCACGGGGATCAATAAAGTTTATCTTTATCTTTATCTTTATCTTTCTTCTGCGTCCTGTTTGAATGAAACAACACAGAGAGAGCGGTGTCAGTGCTGTGTGGTGACTTTGATGCAGCTACAAGAGACAAACCAGCAACACTTGAAGTTTATCTCTGCAAATCAAAGTCAGTTTAAGTTCTCCTGAAACACTTTTCACTGTTACCATCTGGTCTCCTGTCGCTGCTGTTGGACCTGAATATCTGAACATCATTTTCTCTTGTTTAATTACTTTATGTGACTGTGTTGACCAAATCTTCAAAGAGAGCTACTCAGATAACTTCTCTCTTTTATAACACGTGCTTCAATCTCATTTTGTAGAAAGAATGGTGAACCTGTCCTCATCTAGTAACTCACCTTCACCTGTTTGTTGAAGCATCTTGACTTTAACCAGCTGAAAGAAAAAGAGATCAGATAAAAGAAATAAGTTTGAAGTTTGAAAACAAACAAATAACCCGACAGATCGAAAAGGAGAGCATGTTGGATAGAAATGTGATTTTTCAGTTCTAAATGTACCTGATTTCATATGTGGCATATGAAAAAAATCTGAAAAATCACACATAATATAAAAGCATTAAGCATGATTTACTTTATGTGTGATGAAATATTTCGGTGACCCTAGAGCCTACAATGGTGACTTTTTTTTAATGATATCCATGTTAAAAACACAGTTTCCAAACCAAGTGTCATAGTTTTGGCTAAAAGAGACCCCTACTGTTCAACCTGAGTACTGCTACAAAAAACTTAATTGGAAAGAAATTGTTTTTGGTAGGTAAAAGAAATCCTCAGAATTGAGTGAAAGCCAAAACTCCCAAACCAAGTGCTGTAGTGTAAACAACATGATATGGAGTATATGTGATGATGTTTATGTCAGCCTATAATTTATAATAGTGACTTTATCGATAATTATACATATCAAGAAAACTTTGAAGTTATATGGAAGCAAATTGTAATACCTGAAGCACATTTTACCAAACTAAGAGTTGTAGTATAATCAAGAGGACATGGTTTATGTGTGCTGTGAGTTTGATGGCACTACAACATGTTATAGTAGTTCTTACATATTTTATTACCAAATTTAATGATAAGAAATCACTGAAATTACATGAAAGCCCTTTATCCAAAGCAATGTGATGTAGTTTATAGAGCAGGAGGACATTTATTCACAATGGGTTTTTGTTTTACCCTACACTTTACAAAAGGGATTTTATTGAACATTGGGTTATAAACTATGGCTGTAATAGGCTTTTAAAAAATCCTCAATTTTTATTTTCCAATCTGAGAAATGTAGTATGAAAAACGTGAGATCACATATGTGTAAAATGATTTTCATGACACTACACCTCTCCTGGGTGAAGTTATTGAATATTTCTGTATCATATGTTTTTCGGCGTTCACCTCTGGGTGACCTAAAAATGAACCATCTGTAATTAAAATCAGCTAATATTAATTTCAATTTACTGTTTTTACAATAAACATCAGGCTCAACGCCGGTGTCCACAACCTACACTTAGTCAGGATGTGTGGAGACGGTCTGGGCCATTACGCATGGCGGAGATGATTGTTTTTTATTTGCACGAGCTGCTCTTTGTGGCTCACTCCATAGGAAGCTTTGTTATCATTAGTAAAACTTTAGTTTTACATCAGTCAAGACAGGAGAAACTGGAAAGAAGTGTGGACAGAACTGAAGACCGTCATGATGCGCGCGCAGTGCAGCGGTGTGCCTGTCGTTTAGTCCCGTAGCTTTGATACAATTCTGGCAACTTGTGAGCAAATAAAACTAAAGAAATATCCCCCCTACGATCTCTCTTGAAAACCTGCATTCTGTGTCACCTCTCTCAGCTGTTCAGCCTGTTTGCTGATTAGCGTAATGCAGGAGCAGCTCGTGCGCTCGGCCACTCGTCTTTTCTATGATACTCCCTGCTGAGAAGATAATTCAAAGTGCCCCGTTTAATTAATATTCGTATCATGATATCAACATTTACGTTGCTCATTTTTACATAGGTTTTAATACAATTCGGGGAAAATACGTATTACAAATCTTTAATTTATAAAATATCTCAAAATAGTTTTCAATACATTTCCTCCTTCTTCCCAAAACGGCCGGATGAAACCTGCTGTCGGGCCGTATGTCTGACATCCCTGATAGAGGATGTTAATGAGAGTAATGTGGTGTGCTCTGGTCTTTTTCTCTCTTGTTCACAAAGTCAGTCTAAAACATTTCACTTTTCAGTCAGGACATGAAGAGATGAAAGAAGAAACTCTATCTGCACTCTTCTCTCTGCTTTGTTTCTACAGGAAGTTCAAACTGTACAGATTAAACATCTTTGAATGAAAGTAAGTGAACAAACAGCTCACCTGAAAGAGAGAAGACAGTCAGTAACATGATGGCTGTTACCATGTTCACTGACAGGACTGCAGTAACACCCATCACCTGGAATTAAAAACTAAGTTACTCTTCAAAGTCCTCGTTAAAGAGTTGGATGAACAAAACAGTAATTTTCACTTAAAGAAAATAAAAGCTGCTGAAAACTAAAACGATAAAACATAAATAGCAGTCATAGCTGATCTTACCAAACAAACCTCCAGGAGCTTAAACAGAGAAAATGTAGAAAAAAGACGATTTTTAAATTTCAGCAGAACTGCAACAAACCAGTCACCTCGCTGCTAAGACACAAAAACCCCAAAAGATTTCTTCCTTTCTTCTTGTACCGTGAGAATGAGGAAGTTAGTGTTTGACACCTCTTCTGTTTTATTTAAAGTGTTTCCCTTTTTTAGTAGTGTGTTTAAAGACAGATATGAAGGCTATATTAACCTATAGGTCCTGATTGGCCCCGGCTTCAAATGTGTTGCTTCAAGGAGAGCAGGAGACGTGCATTCAGTTCACCAATCATATTTATTTAAAAATGATATACTTGGTGCTGGAGTACCTGAGCAAATAGAAAGCAACACAAAGTTTAATAGAAATGTATTTTTTATTTCATTATAATAAATATCTAAAAGTTATAGCTACTGATTTAAATAAACTATAACAAATATAACCAGACAGGGTACTTACCGCAGGGAGATTCTATCACAGACTCCACTAGATACCACCACGTGAGCTCACTGTGATCACTAACGCTGCAACTTACACTGCAAGAAAAAAGACAATCTTCCAAACACTTGAGTGTCCACCACCAGCAGGCCGACCACACCACATGCAAGAAGTGGTCTGGATCCCACACGTACTCCCCGCTGTGCGTCCCTGCAGCCTACAAATAAAATAAAACAAAGACAAGCATGAAGTCCAGTTGGTTCAGTTTCACATAAAGGTTACACATTCATGGGTTTAAATATGGGCAGGTACGCAGTAAATTATCCACCACAACATGGACAGTGAGCACAACAACCATGGCCGAGTCCAGTTCAACAAACAATCTCAGCCAGACGACATGGATGAACTGATTCAGGCAAAGCAGCAGTCTGACACTCGTCTATAATGAGGAAGACATGGTAAACATCATTTATATAAACTAGATAAAACACCTTGGAGGGAAGATCCCTCCTTCATTATCAGTTAAAGTTACCTCGCTCAATCTGAGGCCCTGATTAAAGGAGACACCTGGAAGGTCAGCAGGCTGACACTGGGATGGAGTCAAAGGCTGAATTTCCTAAAGAATTAAATTACATTAGTGATAGGCCTACAATTAATCATACAACAACAGTTATTTGTAGCCTACCTCTTCAACATGAGCCTACAGAGCATATCAGTCAGGGTAAATCAGGACACAGCTCATTACATCTGAATGAACAAGAGAAACCTCATTAAGTATCTGACCAAAGCACACAGTCAATGTTTCTCCCCAGAGCTCCCTTACCGGCACACACCAAGCAGTCCCACCACACATCTACCAGGAAACTCTCCCTCAACCTACCTACAGAGGGCAGTGTTCTCAGCTCACACATCAGCCCTCACAGGTAGCATCAACTAAAGATGGACACTTAGAAGAATAGAGAGAGAATGACACCCACTAAAAGACCCAGGTTAGAACTGAACCTGGTCCACTGTGATAAGGACTCTGCTTTAAATGCTTCATGCTCTAACAAATGTGTAACATGGCACCCAAGCTTCATTGGTTCCAAAGGCTTGACCAATTACCTCAGATCATGTGGCCCCTTACAATCTATGAGGTCCCAACTTCAACATTGGAGAAGCTGGAAAGAGGGGTCACAGGATAGATTAAGAAGTGGCTTGTAGTCCCACACTGCCTGACTTCCATAATTCTCTATGGAGATTATGTCCTTAAAACTGCCCCTCAGCAGTCTCACGGAGGAGTTCAAATGTGCTAAAGTAAGACTTTAGATGACACTGAAGGAATCCAGAGATGCAGTGGTGAGGAACAACGCACCAACCCTGGCAGCAGCGGAGCAAATGGAGACCAGCAAGAGCAGTGGAGGAGGTAACAGCTGCCCTTAGACATGCAGACATCGTGGGGCATGTTCAACAAGGAAGAGGAGGATTGGGTTGATCATGTTTTACCACCACATGATCATGTAGGTAACACAGAGACACAATATGTCCTAGAATCTGGTGTTATGTGAATTGCAGCAAAAAAAAAAAGAACGACATAATTACAGACGTCTCTGCTGAGGTGGAGAAATATAACATGTCGGCATTCTGCTTGCTCGTTGCCTCACATGGAGAAGTGTGCACATCATTTATTTTATATTTATCTTCTCAAAGACAGTAATCATCAACCACATACTCCTTGCGAGCTTTAATACCCTCTTCTTATGTGATAAAAGTTCACTAATCCTAACGGTGACATATTTAAAAGAAACATACGATTACAGGTTATGATTAAGGTGAACTTTTAACATTCATCATACAGAGGCTGATTCATAACAAGACCAAACCAAATCCATTCAACCACAAATATACAGCTGTTCCTTTAGTGTAAATATCTATAATAATACGGGTTGGGGTTGTAACTCTGGCCGCTGTAGCTACATTTTTTATTTAGATGAAAGATCTGCATTAAGTACTATGGATCATCACAAGGTGTTTATTGTTTTGCTTTTAATGCAGCTGGAATTGTAAAAGTTGTCATTGTTGAAACTGGACTAAATTAAATAAAGAGTTTCCACAATCAATGAAAAAAAATCATTGCATTGACAATAAACAGAATTGTGGACTGATGAAAACATTTAGTTGTAGAGAGCTGTGCAGCTACAGTGGCTACAATGATACAGTGGAAGGACTTGTTCTCATTAGAAGAAAACAAACTACCTCTGGTTGTTATACTTCCCCTCTTTTTCATCTTTTTATATCCAACCACTTCTCTTATAGGCTTATCAGACACTCACAGATGTAGTTTCATCTTCTATATAACATCAAACATGTTGAACACACTGACATGTCAAACTATTTGTGTTCATTAAAATAAAAAAGGGAGATGTCTGTCTCAGTTTCCTTGTACTGAAAGGATTACTAATAATGCAACTTTATAACTTTATAACTTAATAACGTTTACCAAGGCCTGATGAGAAATGCTTCAAATGATCAAAATGTTTTTTTTCCCTTTTTTTTATTACCTTTTTCAAAGGTGAACAAACAAAAATAGGGCAGTAACCCATACATTAAAATAATCAATACAACAACACTACAGGTAAAAATACAAGTAGTAACCAAAGTCGAGGATTCCCACTTCAATAATATTAGGCGTCTGGCAAACGAGGGTAACAAAGGCTGTAAAGTCTGCTTCTAAGGAGGAAAGGGATACTGTGGATGGAGTAACACCAAATAGTGCAGTCATAGCATTAGGTGCAATCGGTTTACCAACAACCTTTGAAAGTGTCCCTAAGATGTTTTAAATGTTGTTGAATCAGAGGTCATCTACACTGTTATAAAGCTGTCTCAGTACTGCTTGCCTGTTCTGCCTCTCTGTCACTTCCTTTAGCTGCATTACAGCTTCACTGCATTGCTCCATCCATCCAGCAGATGTCCTCGTTTGGAGACGCTCAGCCCTGCACCATATTTACTGTCTCTTTTTCAGACAGGATTGTGGATGTTTTTTTTTTATGATACATGTAGTTAACATCATAGTTGTTTAAAAATGTAGAAGTTTTACATCTTCATCTGGTTATATTTTTTTCCTAACTTTAGCGTAGAGATCGTCTGGACTGCCAGCAGTCTGTGCTCCACTGTTTCCTCTCCCGGACACTTTGACTTGTGCATACAGTGTCTCCTGCTGCTGTCCTCGGTCCTGTACCGAGTTAAAGGACTCTTCATGTCTCATCTTGGAGAAGTCTATCTCTCCGTAATGGATATTTTCTTGTACTTCTTCCTCTGTTTTCCTTGCTGGCTCTTCTGCAGACATCTCTTCACCTGGTTGACTCTGAAAAAAACAAATCACCATTAGACCTGTGGGTTGAACCTTCAGCGAGATGCAATAAATATTTTCAGACCCATCTCACCACTGATAAAAAAATGTAGTCATTCTCAGTTTTACTAGAAATGTGTGAAAGTGTTGTGATAACTTAATATTGTGTTTTTACTTCATCTCAACTAATGTAAAGTTTTCATATTTACAAAAATGGTTCAATAGAAATTAAAATTATGAGTCAAAAGGATCTTATCATGACATTGTCCCACATGTAAAAATATATATGTTAAAAATGGCATTTTTAAAGGGGCTAAAGGTGGATATCATATTCCCTTACAGTCAGAAGGCCCCTGGTTCACATCCCTATTTGGTCAGGACATAAAAGTTAACACCATGTTGACCAAACTACTAAAAGGATTCAAAGTTGACCAGGGGGGCACCGGTGGTACAGTGGTTAGTGGGTGCCCCCCATGTACGGAGGCATTAGTCCTCCAAGCAGACAGCTGCAGGGTTAAATCTGACCTGTTCCTCACTCTCTCTCTCTCTCTCTCTCGCTCTCTCTCTCTCTCTCTCTCTCTCTCTCTCCCTGATTTCAAACTCTATCCACTGTCCTATCTCTTAAATAAAGGCACAAAAAGCCCCAAATATAAATCTTTAAAAGTTGACCAGGAGTTTTCTTTTTGTTTTGAATGAGTACAGGTTCATCTCAACTTTTCATCTTAATTTTGTAAACGTGAGAGTTACATCACAGCCCAGAGACTGCTGAGAAAAAGTCATTAAAGTGGATGTTTAGAAATTGTGAGTGACAGATGGACAACGTGAGCAGATGTCAAAAAGTGCAGCACTGTGAGTCTGTGAGTCACAGTTTTGTGTTTTCCCACCTGAGTCCGTTGTGCAGTTGGGTGTTTTGACTTTAAACACCTAGAAGACATGACAGGCTGTTAGATTGTACTTTGTTCCAGGTTTGATTCATTGTTTTCTGGAGATTTGTATTTATATATTTTCAAGTGCTGCTGAAATGCCAGTGCCAGTAACTGAGTCATCAGTTTCCATCTGTGGTACTTACCAAACAAAGACAACCAGACAGATGAACGCAATGATCCCAAGGATTCCACCAATGATTGCCTCCCAGTGTAGAGAGCTCGCAAGCACAGCTAGTGAATAAACCAGACCGATATAAAATACAAAGTGGAAACTTCTGATGTTACTATATCAAAGTGCTAAACAGGTAAAGCAGCAAAAAACACAAAAAGTCAGGCATGAAGCAACAGAAGGCTGGAAGAGTGAAAATAGCAGATTGCCTCAATGGTTGTCAAAGTAACTGTAGTGTTCACCTTTCTCCTCAAATCTCAGATGGATCTGTGGTGATGTCTGATTACCGAGATCATTCATGGACACACAGTAATAAACTCCTCCCTCTGTGACATTAAAGCTGTAAAACTCTCCTTCAGATACGATCATGGGTCCATCTCTGCTGATCTTGAACCAGGTGAAGCTGCTGACAGGAGGATTGGCTCTGCTGGAGCAGGTCAGGTTCACATGAATACCTGCTGACACCAAACCTGATGGACTGATGGACACTGAGGTGTTTTTAGGAGCATCTGAGGAAAATGTAAGATAAACATATTTCATTAAAAACAGCAAACATCTTTAAAATCGTCTCATTCTGACAGGATCCAATAACAATCTCTGGTTGTCTCACATGAAACTCTGAGAGTCTGTGTCTCCTCTGCTGTCTTGACTTCTTTTCCTTCATTCACAGGATATGTGGCAGAACAGGTGATGTTGTATCCATCATGTTTGTCCGTCAGAGTGATCTGCTCCTGGATTTTAGTCGTGAAGGTTTTATCTGGGTTTTCCTCCATGTTGTTGAGAGAGTCTTGTTTGAGAGTCCAGGTGAGTTTAGGAGGGGAGAGTGGACAGGGAGTGGAAGCTGAGCAGGTTATAGTGACAGACTCCTTCTCCTTCAGATCTCCTGAGATGATTAGTTTGGGGCTCGGAGGAGAATCTGTGTGTTCAAATCAAACAAAGATTACTTTAACCAATAGACTAGCTGACAGTGACTGTCCTTTCTAAAAAAAAATTCTAAAATGTTTTTCTTCCCAAACTTCCAGCCACCGCCTGTCATCATTACCACGTTAATATTCTGTCATGGAAACTTCATGGAGAAGGTTTGTAATGTCATATATAAAAATGTGTGTGTACTTTGTAAGAAGGAAGGGTAGGATACTTATCATTGTTACATTGTTGTTGTTTTTTTTGTGTGTGCATGTATATGTTTGTGTGTGTATGGGAGAGGAGGGGGGAGGGGTTGAAAAATGTTACAAGGAAAAAATGGTCCTAATGATGTTAAGACAAAAGCTGACAGCACTGTAATTAAAAACTTTAAATTAAAATGTTTTTCTGCTTCTTAGTGTGCCAAGATTGGACCCTTCAATCTCAACCAGTAAAAAGAGTCTCAGTATTTAATCAGAGTTCAACTCGTGCTATGACAATGATTTATTGTTTCTTAAAAAACCTTTATAGTCTGATTAAAAGAAAATGAAACTCTCTTACCTTTGACTTTTATTTGAAGAGGATCACAAATAGCATTTGCCCTGAAAGGCCAGTTCATGATTCTGAAGTAGTATACGCCTTCATATGTCGTCTTCATGTTGTAAATCAGAGTGGTGCAGTTTTTCATTGTCAAGTTTCCAGTTATGTTCATTTCAAATTTGTTCACTGTGCCACTACTGTTAAAAACCACATTGTTTGGATTGGGGGTCTCTTCGTCTTCTTTATACCATATTCCAAATGTTTCTGTTGTGTTGTCAAACTCTTTTTCTTCTTTAACACTAAAGCTACATGGGATTTTCAGACAAGTTCCACTCAGTGCTTCCATCTTCTTTGGTGTAGTGATGAAGAGATCTGACCAATAAGTCCGACATTCATCCCACGCTTCTGTAAAGCAGACCATCAGTTATTATAATGTTGAGCAGGATCTTCATATAGAGGATGTTAATGAGAGTCTAAGAAGTATGTGGTGTGCTCTGGTCTTTTTCTCTCTTGTTCACAAAGTCAGTCTAAAACATTTCACTTTTCAGTCAGGACATGAAGAGATGAAAGAAGAAACTCTATCTGCACTCTTCTCTCTGCTTTGTTTCTACAGGAAGTTCAAACTGTACAGATTAAACATCTTTGAATGAAAGTAAGTGAACAAACAGCTCACCTGAAAGAGAGAAGACAGTCAGTAACATGATGGCTGTTACCATGTTCACTGACAGGACTGCAGTAACACCCATCACCTGGAATTAAAAACTAAGTTACTCTTCAAAGTCCTCGTTAAAGAGTTGGATGAACAAAACAGTCATTTTCACTTAAAGAAAATAAAAGCTGCTGAAAACTAAAACATAAATAGCAGTCATAGCTGATCTTACCAAACAAACCTCCAGGAGCTTAAACAGAGAAAATGTAGAAAAAAGACGATTTTTAAATTTCCGCAGAACTGCAACAAACCAGTCACCTCGCTGTTAAGACACAAAAACCACAAAAGATTTCTTCCTTTCTTCTTGTACCGTGAGAATGAGGAAGTTAGTGTTTGACACCTCTTCTGTTTTATTAAAGTGTTTCCCTTTTTTAGTAGTGTGTTTAAAGACAGATATGAAGGCTATATTAACCTATAGGTCCTGATTGGCCTCGGCTTCAAATATGTTCCTTCAAGGAGAGCAGGAGACGTGCATTCAGTTCACCAATCATATTTATTTAAAAATGATATACTTGGTGCTGGAGTACCTGAGCAAATAGAAAGCAACACAAAGTTTAATAGAAAGATATTTTTTATTTCACAATAATAAATATCTAAAAGTTATAGCTACTGATTTAAATAAACTATAACAAATATAACCAGACAGGGTACTTACCGCAGGGATTCTATCACAGACTCCACTAGATACCACCACGTGAGCTCACTGTGATCACTAACGCTGCAACTTACACTGCAAGAAAAAAGACAATCTTCCAAACACTTGAGTGTCCACCACCAGCAGGCCGACCACACCACATGCAAGAAGTGGTCTGGATCCCACACGTACTCCCCGCTGTGCGTCCCCGCTGCCTATTAATAAAATAAAACAAAGACAAGCATGAAGTCCATTTGGTCCAGTTTCACATAAAGGTTACACATTCATGGGTTTAAATATGGGCAGGTACGCAGTAAATTATCCACCACAACATGGACAGTGAGCACAACAACCATGGCCGAGTCCAGTTCAACAAACAATCTCAGCCAGACGACATGGATGAACTGATTCAGGCAAAGCAGCAGTCTGACACTCGTCTATAATGAGGAAGACATGGTAAACATCATTTATATAAACTAGATAAAACACCTTGGAGGGAAGATCCCTCCTTCATTATCAGTTAAAGTTACCTCGCTCAATCTGAGGCCCTGATTAAAGGAGACACCTGGAAGGTCAGCAGGCTGACACTGGGAGGGAGTCAAAGGCTGAATTTCCTAAAGAATTAAATTACATTAGTCATAGGCCTACAATTAATCATACAACAACAGTTATTTGTAGCCTACCTCTTCAACATGAGCCTACAGAGCATATCAGTCAGGGTAAATCAGGACACAGCTCATTACATCTGAATGAACAAGAGAAACCTCATTAAGTATCTGACCAAAGCACACAGTCACTGTTTCTCCCCAGAGCTCCCTTACCGGCACACACCAAGCAGTCCCACCACACATCTACCAGGAAACTCTCCCTCAACCTACCTACAGAGGGCAGTGTTCTCAGCTCACACATCAGCCCTCACAGGTAGCATCAACTAAAGATGGACACTTAGAAGAAAAGAGAGAGAATGACACCCACCAAAAGACCCAGGTTAGAACTGAACCTGGTCCACTGTGATAAGGACTCTGCTTTAAATGCTTCATGCTCTAACAAATGTGTAACATGGCACCCAAGCTTCATTGGTTCCAAAGGCCTGACCAATTACCTCGGATCATGTGGCCCCTTACAATCTATGAGGTCCCAACTTCAACATTGAAGAAGCTGGAAAGAGGGGTCACAGGATAGATTAAGAAGTGGCTTGTAGTCCCACACTGCCTGACTTCCATAATTCTCTATGGAGATTATGTCCTTAAAACTGCCCCTCAGCAGTCTCACGGAGGAGTTCAAATGTGCTAAAGTAAGACTTTAGATGACACTGAAGGAATCCAGAGATGCAGTGGTGAGGAACAACGCACCAACCCTGGCAGCAGCGGAGCAAATGGAGACCAGCAAGAGCAGTGGAGGAGGCAACAGCTGCCCTTAGACATGCAGACATCGTGGGGCATGTTCAACAAGGAAGAGGAGGATTGGGTTGACCATGTTTTACCACCACACCATCAAGTAGTCAACACAGAGACACAATATGTCCTAGAATGAGATGAGAGATGAGATTCAACTTTATTGTCATTACACATTTACAAGTATAGAGTAACGAAGGTTTGGCATCTCACCAGAAGTGCAATAAACAGAAAGTGCAAGAATCTGTGCTATGTACAAGTAATTACAAAATTTACAGATGTAGACAAAAAAAGTGAATTATTGGGTATAGATGCATGGCTGGATTAATGGGATGCTATAAATATAAATAAATGCGATAAATATAAGTATATTCTTAGGATTATAATATACATATTAAGGTGCAGTGAGCATGCTATACTAGATTACAGATAATATACAGAATATGGACATATTGCACAGGTCGATAACTTACTGAGGTGATATGAACATACTATATTACAATAATACAGGTGGATGAGAGATGTGTGTGTATGACCAGGAGGAGTGGTGGGGGGATGATGGGTGTGAGGTGATGTGCAGAGGAAGGGGGGTCAGCGGGGGGCGGAGTTCGGGAGGGAGACAGAGTTCAGAGTTCTGAAGCTCCTACCGGAGGGCAGGAGGGCAAACAGTCTGTGAGCAGGGTGGGAGGAGTCTTTAAGGATGCTGTGAGCTCGCAGCAGACAGCGTTTTCTTTGGACATCCTCAATGGTGGGAAGTGGACACCTTGTGATGCGCTGGGCGGTTTTTACCACCCGCTGTAGCGCCTCACGGTCTGTGACAGAGCAGTTTCCGTACCAGACTGTGACACTGCTGGTCAGGATGCTCTTGATCACAGAGCGGTAGAAGTTCATCAGTACAGCTGAAGACAGGTGCTGTCTCTTCAGTGTCCTCAGGAAAAAGAGGTGTTGATGAGCCTTCTTAACCAGACTGGAGGTGTTAGTGGACCAGGAGAGGTCCTCTGTGATGTGGGTCCCCAGGAACTTCCTCTTTCTCTCCTGAAGTCCACGATGAGCTCCTTCGTCTTGCTGGTGTTGAGGAGCAGGTTGTTGTCAGCACACCAGGCGGCCAGATGCTGTACCTCCTCCCTGTAGGCTGTGTCATCGTTGTTGCTGATGAGGCCAATCACCGCCGTATCGTCCGCAAACTTGATGATGGTGTTGGATCCATGTACAGGTCTGCAGTCGTGGGTGAAGAGGGAGTAGAGGAATGGGCTCAGCACACAGCCCTGTGATACGCCTGTGTTGAGTGTGATGGTGGTGGAGCAGGTGTGTCCTGACCTAACAGACTGGGGTCTGTTGGTCAGAAAGTCCATTATCCAGTGACGGATGGAGGTGTTGAGGCCCAGGTCTCCGAGTTTAGTGTTTAACTTGGAGGGGATGACAGTGTTGAATGCTGAGCTAAAATCTGCATCCTCTGGAAACGACATCCTCTGTCCTCCTATTGCTGCGGTAGGAGAACTGGTATGGGTCCAGTGTGGGTGGGAGGCAGTTCTTCAAGTGTGCTAGGACCAGTCACTCAAGGCACTTCATTATGATGGGTGTGAGTGCTACAGGGCGGTAGTCATTCAGGCCTGTCGGGCTGGAGTGTTTCAGCACTGGAGACAATGGAGGTGGCTTTGAAGCATGCTGGCACAGCTACTTGGGCGAGGGACAGGTTGAAGATGTCCGTAAAAACCCCAGTGAGCTGCTCCACATGTGCTCTAAGCACACGCCATCTGGACCAGCAGCCTTTGGAGCGTCGATCCAGCTCAGTGCAGCGTGGACGTCTGTGGAGGTCTGGTCATGGTCTGCGTTTCCCTGTTGTCTCTATCGAAACGAGCATAAAAGTGATTTAGCTCGTTCAGGAAGGAGACATCTGTGGTTATCGGGGTGGAGTTGCTGGGTTTATAATCACTGATGGCCTGGATGCCCTGCCACATGCGTCTGGGGTCGGAGTTGGAGAAGTGTTCCTCTACCTTCAGCTTGTAGCAGTGCTTGGCCTTGACGATGCCCCTCCTCAGGTTTGCTCTGGATACGCTGTAGGCCATTGCGTCATCTGATCTGAAGGCGGTGTTGCGGGCCTTCAGCATTCCTTCAGAATCTGGTGTTATGTGAATTGCAGAAAAAAAATAAAAAATAAAACAACATAATTACAGACGTCTCTGCTGAGGTGGAGAAATATAACATGTCAGCATTCTGCCTGCTCATTGCCTCACATGGAGAAGTGTGCACATCATTCATTTTATATTTATCTTCTCAAAGACAGTAATCATCAACCACATACTCATTGCAAGCTTTAATGCCCTCTTCTTATGTGATAAAAGTTCACTAATCCTAACGGTGACATATTTAAAAGAAACATACGATTACAGGTTATGATTAAGGTGAACTTTAACATTCATCATACAGAGGCTGATTCATAACAAGACCAAACCAAATCCATTCAACCACAAATATACAGCTGTTCCTTTAGTGTAAATATCTCTAATAATACGGGTTGGGGTTGTAACTCTGGCCGCTGTAGCTACATTTTTTATTTAGATGAAAGATCTGCATTAAGTACTATGGATCATCACAAGGTGTTTATTGTTTTGCTTTTAATGCAGCTGGAATTGTAAAAGTTGTCATTGTTGAAACTGGACTAAATTAAATAAAGAGTTTCCACAATCAATGAAAAAACAATCATTGCATTGACAATAAACAGAATTGTGGACTGATGAAAACATTTAGTTGTAGAGAGCTGTGCAGCTACAGTGGCTACAATGATACAGTGGAAGGACTTGTTCTCATTAGAAGAAAACAAACTACCTCTGGTTGTTATACTTCCCCTCTTTTTCATCTTTTTATATCCAACCACTTCTTATAGGCTTATCAGACACTCACAGATGTAGTTTCATCTTCTATATAACATCAAACATGTTGAACAGACTGACATGTCAAACTATTTGTGTTTATTAAAATAGAAAAGTGAGATGTCTGTCTCAGTTTCCTTGTACTGAAAGGATTACTAATAATGCAACTTTATAACTTCATAACTTAATAACATTTCCCAAGGCCTGATGAGAAATGCTTCAAATGATCAAAATGTTTTTTTCCCTTTTTTTATTAGCTTTTTCAAAGTTGAACAAACAAAAATAGGGCAGTAACCCATACATTAAAATAATCAATACAACAACAATACAGGTAAAAATACAAGTAGTAACCAAATGAGATATACGAGGCAATAAGTAAACCAAAATAATATGCACACACACACACACCAACAAATAATCTCACACATACACATATCTTTATACTGACAATAATAACAGTCATACATGCAGAGGTGTAAAGAGTACTAATATATTCTACTCAAGTAAAAGTACTGTTACTTTGATGAAATTTTACTTCAGTACAAGTAAAAGTACCAGCTTAAAAATGTACTCAAGTAAAAGTAAAAAGTAACTTGTTTAAAATGTACTTTAAGTACAAGTTACTTAGTTACTTTGAGGATATTAATCTCAAAGTTGTTTTTAATTAAAGGCCAATCTTTACAAAGATTTATCTTTTCAGATAAACATTTTCTTTTCTACCCCATTGACAAAAAC